ACCCGGAGAAGCGCCACAGGTCGCCTGGAGGCGATTCTTGAGGGGGGGGGTACTGTAAGGTTTCCACTGCCTGCAGCCTTCTCCATGATGGCCGCCAATTGACACCAGCTGACGGCTATCCACCTGATGAGGAGCAACACTACTTAAGGCTGCAGTCCAGTGTGAACCAGTGCTGGAGCATTGTGCCTCATTTGGTATTTATGCCTTCAGCCTGAAAGAGTGTGAATCTGAGATCACTACTTACCTTATGATTTTGTGCCTACAGTTTTCTGTGAACTCGTGGATCCTGTTTGCCTGCCAGCTCTGCCTCGTTGCCTCTCGCTTGCCAGTCCTGCCTCGCCTGCCACAGCCTGTTGGACTCATCTGTCCCTCGGTCTGTCCTTTCCCTCTACTCTGGAGTCTGGGTGATACCTCCTGAGTCTTGCTTCTACATCTACACCTGTAAGAGAAAACAAACAAAGTTATCTGCAGCAACGCATCCTTTCTACCAGAATCTCTTCTGATACCGTTCTCTCTTCCAGACGCTCCAGGAACCACAAGTGTACTATTTCACTGTAAATATAATAAACACTGTTACCTTTGCTACTCTGAGTTTGGCTTATTCCTGGTTTTCGTACTACACTGGGTTCAGTCTGTTGTGACAGTATATATACTGTACATACCTAGGCAGACAAAATTAATTCTCAGATTGTAGACTTTATGAATGAGAGAGGCTTAATAGATATCTGGAGGGTAAATACTCCAAACACAACAAACTTTACATGGAAAAACAAACCTGGCTTGCAACACTCAAGAATCGACTTATGGCTAATATCTGACTCCTTACAGCATTCAAATTGTGAAGCTGAAATTGTTCAAGCACCCCTCGCTGATCATAAAGTCATTGTGTTATATGTTCGTATATCCCCTGATAGAATTAATCAGGGCTGTGTTGAGCCCCCTCCTGTTCACTCTGCTCACGTATGATTGTGCAGCTACCCGTACAGGCTGTCACATTGTAAAGTTTGCAGATGATACAGTGGTGGTGGGATGCATCACAAACAATGATGAGTCCAGCTACAGGCAGGAGGTGGAACACCTGGAGAGCTGGTGCAAGGAAGAACAACCTTCACATCAATGCGAATAAGATGAAGGAGATGGTCATGAACTTCAGACGAAACAAGCCCACCCCCGAACATAGTAAGATTTGCGGTGGAAGTGAGATGTTATCCTGTATGCTGGTGAAGATTCTCAGTCATCCAGGACATCCGTCCGTCCGTTATCTTTACCCGTTTATTCCATTTTGGGTCACGGGGGTCGCTGGTGCCCATGTCCAGCAATCACTGTGCGAGGGGCGGGGTACACCCTGGACGGGTCGCAAGTCCATCACAGGGCCACATAGAGACAAACGAGACAAACAACCATTCACTCTCTCACTCACACCTAGGGACAATTTAGAGTTACCAATCAGCCTAACATGCATGTTTTTGGTCTGTGGGAGGAAACCGGAGTGCCCGGAGAAAACCCACGCATGCACGGAGAGAACATGCAAACTCCACCCAGAAAGGCCCCTGGACCGGGGTTTGAACCAGGGACCTGTTCGCTGAGAGGCAGCAGCTCTACCAGTTGCGCCACCGTGCTGCCCCATCCAGGACATGATGAATTCAAAAAGCGTTCAATACAAAAACAACTGGACTTTATTTGTAACAGAAGACGTTTTGCTCCTCATCCGAGGAGCTTTCTCAATTCAAACAGCAGTGAGTGAGAGGTTCAAGTTATAAGGCTGAGTGAGATAAGACACACACACACATGTAGATTGGCAGTTCACACCTAAACACCTTAACAGTAGGGGTTTCTAAAGTCTTTGTTACACTAATTCACAGACAAGGCCCCTCTGTTCCCATCAGGTGTGAAAACTGGCTGGGAATCAGTCTTAAAGTTGCATTATAGGTTATCCTCAGTACTGGCTAAATATTTTCCAAATATTGACCGTCTTTGTTCCTTTTGTCATCTTGAAGATGCAACATTGACCAACCTTTTCTGGGACTGCACTTGTAGTAAAACATTTTGGTGTGACATAACATCTTCTTTAACAGAAGATGTGATATACTTGGTCACATTGAATGTTAAACATGTTTTTTTTTTCTTTCTAAAATTAGAACATCTGGGATAAAATATGTCATTAACTTTCTTATTCTGTTGGCTAAATTCCACATACATGCTAGCAAAATATGCTAAACACAAGCCCAACCTCAGTTTTCAAGCTGCTGAGCTGCTTTTGGACTCTTTAAAACTTTGCTCTCTAAAGCTGAAACTTAAAGCCTTATGTGAAGAACCTTTTATTTTGTATTTGCTACTCCCTCACCTCGAGCATATTACTATTACTGTTTGTGGTTGTACATTGTTTATTTGTAAATAACGTTTGTTTAAAAATAAATAAATTACTGACCAAACAAGTCAAATCAGTGTAATTACTGCCCCCCAGCGGTTGATTTACGAACTGAAATGAACAACTTGATTAGACATCGTCAACATAACTTTAAATTCGAGGTTTATTCCTGAAGTTTTATCAACCCAAAACATCTGTTAATTCAGTTCAGTTTATTTAAATAGTATCAATTCACAGCAAATGTGGTCTCAGGGCACCGTGTAAAAACATTCACAAACATTAAAATATAAATTAGTGAAAGTTATCTAAGGAAGCCAGCAGATTGTGTTGAATCTTCACTTTGCTGCAAACCTCCCACTATGAGCAGCACACAGGCAACAGTGGGAAGGAAAAACTCCCTTTAACAGGAAGAAACCTCCATCAGAACCAGAACCAGATAGGTGTCTGCCTCAACATGAAAAAAGGAAATAACAATATACAGCATACTGTATATAATAGCATATATAAGATATCATGTATATTTATATAAAGTGTATAACCTAAAATATCTGGTCTAGATGTAGATTCTATGGACCAGGTGTTGTTTATATGGTTCAGGTGTACAAATGTAGTTTCCATGGTCCAGGTGTAGTTTCTGCAGTCCAGGTGTAGTTTCTATAGTCCAGGTGTAGTTTCTATAGTCCAGGTGTAGTTTCCATGGTCCAGGTGTAGTTTTCATGGTCCAGGTGTAGTTTTCATGGTCCAGGTGCAGTTTCTGCAGTCCAGGTGTAGTTTCTATGTTCCAGGTGTAGTTTCTATAGGCCAGGTGTCTATGTTCCAAGTGTAGTTTCTATGTTCCAAGTGTAGTTTCTATGTTCCAAGTGTAGTTTCTATGTTCCAAGTCTAGTTTCCATGGTCCAGGTGTTGTTTCTATGGTCCAGGTGTGGTCTCTAAATTACAGGTGTGGTCTCTAAATTACAGGTGCGTTCTAAGGTCCAGGTGTAGTTTCTAAAATCCAAGATCAAGTTCAAGTCACATTTATTGTCATTCGCGTCACATGTGGTATATGAGCTGGAACATAATTATGTACACATAGTCCCAGTTACACCCAAAAATAGGAAAAATATAAAGTATAAAAAATTATATAAGGATCTAAGATATAAAACGAACCAAACGGTACGCTATACACTAATGTAAAACAATCCCGATGTGGTATTTACATTCTAGGTGCTGTTTCTATAGTCTAGGTGTATTTTTATGGTCCATGTGTTGTTTCTATGGTTCAGGTGTCATTTCTAAGTTACAGGTGTGTTTCTATTACCCTGATATAGTTCCTATGGCCCAAGCATGGTTTTTATGGTCCAGGTATGGTTTCCACTTTCCAGGTGTAGTTTCTATAGTCCAGGTGTAATTTCTATGATCCAGGTGTAGTTTATATGATCTAGGTGTAGTTTATGGTCCAGGTGGATAAAGACAAAGAAAAACACATGTCAATGACAGAAATAATTACAAATGCAAACATGAACAGCAGAGTGAGTAGGATTTATCATTCATTCAATCAAGAGGACCAAGAGGAAGATCTTAAGCCTAGTCTTAAAAGCTGACTGCCTCATGAACAGAAATTGGAAGTTGGTTCCTCGAGAGAGGAGTCTGAGAACTGAAACTCTGCCAGTGATTCTACTTTTAGAAACTCTAGGAACCACTGGTAAACCTGCAGTCTGAGAGCAAAGAAAAATGAAAGTGTAATAACAGAACCAAAAATGTCCATGCTCAATAATCCAGGTATGCAATCCAACATTTTTCAGTCAGGTCATCTGGACAGTTTCTTTTTCTGAAACGTTTCACCTTCCATCCGGAAGGCTTCATCAGTCAAGGAAACACACAACACAAAACTGATTCTTCCCCCAAACAGCTTACACCCAAGTGGAACAAACCAGTTATGTTGGTGCTAAGATGGTGTCTTTGGCACGCCCCCTCCTCTTGTGCCGGCCCTCTTCCTCGTTGACAGTCATGTCAAACTGGTTCAAAACCAAAAATGTAGTAACAGAGATAAATGAGTCATTTACTTGCTTGAAGCAGGCTGATTTGAAACAGTGCATCGTGGTCACGTGACTGATGACGTTCAAGGGCGAGGCTTCGTTGTCGCAATGAAATACCGGAAGTGAGGTCGTTGATTTTAGTCTTTTCCACAGTTTAGTTTATTTTGAAGAGACTCCAACTTCAAGATTTTTGAGAGACCTTCAATGATGGAAAAATAGAAATCAAGGAAACCTACTGTGTTTGGGCAAACTTACAGTTATTTTGGCCCTTAAATAATAGGAAATATTTTTTGACTATGTATATGACAAATAAAAACTTTGCTTCTTTAAAAATACAACAAAATATAATATAGTGTTGCTGAATTGTGTATTAGTTGGATGAAATGATTACGGATAATTAATGTTACGATGTAAAATCGTTATAAAATAATTTGTCCGTTTCAAGGGGGAGCCGATACATTTCGCGGGAAAATATGCACGAGCTTTGCGTCAGGACGCGTTTCTCTCCTCTGATTGGCTACAAACCGGAAGCCACACGCAGGCCCGCACGGATTGGTCGAGAGAGGCGCGCCAAACGTCACGTGTGTGCAGTTTTCGCGCGAATCGTCTCTGTTGTGTGGAGTTGAGCGTGCGGTGGTGTGGACGGTGTTCTCTGCTCCAGTTTCTGAGTGTTTCCTACCTCTACCGAGCCGCAGCATGGATGTCGCCGCAGCAGCCGCGGAGCATGCCGGGACGATGGTGAAGGACGAGCTGGCAGAAAAATGTCAGAAGTTGTTTCAAGCTTTCTTGGAGGAGTAAGTCGGAATGTCGCTTCTTTACCAGGAACTAGACGGAGCCCGCGCCGTGTCGGTGTGTAATTTGTGTGTTAAAAGTTGTGGTCAGGTTTCAGAGCGGAGATGGAGAGGTGAAGTACGTCCGGGAGGCCGAGGAGCTGATCCGGCCTGAGAGGAACACCCTGCTGGTGAGCTTCACAGACCTGGAGGGCTTCAACCAGGAGCTGGCCACCACCATCCAGGAGGAGTACTACAGGTGAGCTCGCCCCTACCAAACACATTCACCCCCTAGGTTTGTGTTAAAACTATTTCATCAGGAGCAGATCTAGAGTTGTTTTTAGGGGGGGACAAAGGTTGGGACACCAGCAGGGGGCAGAGTTTATTACTTATACATCTGAAATACACAATTTATTTTACTTTACTGAATGTCATTGTGAATGACTCTCTAAAGTGTCAAATCTGTTTTGTTGTTCTTTGCTAAAACATTTGGGGTTAAAGTTTCTATCTGTGTAGAATTAATTGTTCTAAAAGTGTCACCTCTGCTACAACTGACACTGCGAGCCCAGCTGGGTCTATGGCCTGTTTAAATAAATGTTAAATACAAAATTAATTTGAGGGGAAACTTTTGTTTTCAGAGTGTATCCTTACCTCTGCCGAGCTGTGCGCAACTTCGCTCGGGATCATGGGAACGTTCCTCTGAACAAAGAGTTCTACGTCGCCATCGAGGATCTGCCCACCAGACACAAGTAAGACGCAGAATGACCCCAAGTTGGCTGGTTTGTTGGAGCTGTAGGAGAACATCAAACATGACTGCTGTCTCGTTTGTATCCCAGGATCCGTGAGCTGTCCTCCATGCGTATCGGCACCCTGGTGAAGATCAGCGGTCAAGTGGTGAGGACGCACCCAGTCCACCCTGAGCTGGTAAGATCAACTGGACCATCAGCAGACCCCTTCAAGAGTGAGAACCCTCAGGTCTAGTAACTCTGTGTTCGGTGTTTGCAGGTGAGCGGTACCTTCCTGTGCATGGACTGCCAGGCGCTGATCAAAGACGTCCCTCAACAGTTCAAGTACTCCCCACCAACCATCTGCAGGAACCCTGTCTGCAACAACCGCTCCCGCTTCCACCTTGACACCCACAAGTCCAAATTCATTGACTTCCAGAAGGTAAGACAAAGGAGGCTTGTGACGTTGGGAGTGCCTTGCAGGTTCTGATTTGGTTCGGTTCTCTTTCCCTTAGGTGCGAATCCAGGAGACGCAGGCGGAGCTGCCTCGAGGTTCCATCCCACGTTCCCTCGAGATCATCCTGAGGGCAGAAGCTGTGGAGACGGCTCAGGCCGGGGACCGCTGCGACTTCACCGGGACTCTCATCGTTGTGCCAGACGTGTCTCAGCTCAGTACTCCTGGTACGGCTCTGTCAGGACACGAAGCCCCTCTTTGTGCTCTTTACTCTCCTCACTCTGTATGGGTGCTGTCTCCTCAGGCTTGCGGGCAGAGACCAGCACTCGTGTAGCTGGAGGTTCTAAAGGCTTCGAGTCGGAGGGTTTAAGAGGACTGAAGGCTCTGGGAGTCCGAGAGCTGTCCTACAGACTGGCTTTCCTGGCCTGCAACGTGGCCCCGACCAACCCACGGGTCAGAACCTCACCACAGCTCTGTTCTTATAGTTCCTGCAGACAAACGCCAACTTTGTCCTGTTTTTGTTGTAGTTTGGTGGGAAGGAGCTGCGGGATGAGGAGCAAACCGCTGAAAGCATCAAGAGCCAGATGACAGAGAAGGAGTGGGAGAAAGTGTTCGAGATGAGCCAGGACAAGAACCTGTACCACAACCTGTGCACCAGCCTCTTCCCCACCATCCACGGTCAGTGATCGGACCTCTGCTGCGCCCCTCCTCCAGCTCTCTGGTGGTGTCTGTTAACGCGCTGATTGTTGATGGTGCAGGTAACGACGAGGTGAAGCGAGGCGTCCTGCTCATGCTGTTTGGAGGCGTTCCCAAGACGACCATGGAAGGAACGTCCCTGAGAGGAGACGTGAACGTCTGCATTGTAGGAGATCCGAGTACAGCCAAGAGCCAGTTCTTGAAGTAAGTAACAGATTCAAGGTTTTTATTGTCGTTCACATCACATGTGGTACATGAGGTGGAACGAAATTATGTACTCAAGGTCCCAGTTACATCCAAAATAACAAAAATATAAAGTGTAAAAAGAAACAGGATACAAGGATCTAAGATATGCACTAAACAATAAAAATATAATGTGATGTATTAAACAGCAGCCTGACCATGAGTCTGTTGTGAGCAGATGGGGATGAATAAAGCAGCTTAAAGGCAAGAGATCAGCTGCATGGATAAAGTGTCGCATGTCATTTCCTGATTAGAGATTCATGAGTCTAACGGCCTCAGGGTAGAAGCTGTTCCTCAGTCAAGTGGTTCTACACTTAATGCTCCTCAACCTCCTGCCTGAGGAGAGCGGGGCAAAAAGTGTGTGTGCTGGGTGGGTGTGGTCCTTCATGATGCAGGTGGCCCTCTTCCTGCATCTGGAGGTGTAGATGTATGTGATGGTGGGAAGACTGACTCCAACATCTTTTGTGCAGCCTTCACCACTCTCTGCAAAGCTTTTCTTTCTGCAGCTGTGCAGCCTCCATGTCTCCACGTTGGTGTTGGAGCACAAGATGATCTCCACTGCACACCTGTAGAAGGAGGTGAGGACTGAGTTTCCCAGTCCAGCTCCTCTCAGCCGCCTGAGGAAGTAGAGTCTCTGATGAGCTTTCTTGATCAGGCTGGTGGTGTTGTTGCTCCAGCTGAGGTTGTCATTGAGGTGCACACCCAAGTACTTGTAGCTGGAGACCACTTCCACAGCAGATGTTCAGGGGTGGGGTTGTTTCGTCTGAAGTCCACGACCATCTCCTTTGTCTTCTTCACATTGATGTGAAGGTTATTCTCTTTGCACCAGCTCTCCAGGTGTTCCACCTCCTGCCTGTAGCTGGACTCATCATTGTTTGTGATGCATCCCACCACCGCTGTATCATCTGCAAACTTTACAATGTGACAGCCTGGATGAGTGGGTGCACAATCATACGTGAGCAGAGTGAACAGGAGAGGGCTCAGCACACAGCCCTGAGGGGAGCCGGTGTTGACGGTTAAGGTGGAGGAGGAGAAGTTGTGGATCCTCACTAACTGTGGTCTGTTTGTTAATAAGTCTAGGATCCAGTTGCAATGGGGGACTTAGTCCTAGTGTGAATAGTTTGTCCATTCTGCTGTAAACATAATTAAAACTTATCTTTGGATCTTTGTTCACAGACATGTTGAGGAGTTCAGTCCCCGTGCCGTGTACACCAGTGGGAAGGCCAGCAGCGCTGCAGGTCTGACAGCGGCCGTGGTCCGAGACGAGGAGTCGCACGAGTTTGTCATCGAGGCTGGAGCTCTGATGCTCGCAGACAACGTGAGAATCAGGAGCTGAGGCCGTCTTGACTTTTCTTCGTTGTTTCTCTTCCTGAAAATCTTCTTCCCTTTCAGGGAGTGTGCTGCATCGATGAGTTTGATAAGATGGACCTCAAGGACCAGGTGGCCATTCACGAAGCCATGGAGCAGCAGACCATCAGCATCACCAAGGCTGGAGTGAAGGTACCGCTCACAGACTTGACCGGCCTTGAACTGCCTCCTTACAAAAGGAACCCGTTATTTATTTGTCTTTCTTTGTCTGTCTTTGTGAATCAAACTGTTTCTGTCTGCTCAGGCTACGCTGAACGCCCGCACCTCCATCCTGGCTGCTGCCAACCCGGTCAGTGGGCGCTACGACCGCAGCAAGAGCCTGAAGCAGAACGTGAACCTGTCGGCGCCCATCATGAGCCGCTTCGACCTCTTCTTCATCCTGGTGGATGAATGTAACGAGGTACCGCAGCCACGTTCTTTACTCTGTATTTTTCTTGTGTCCTGATAACGATGTGAGAACCACAAACCTGATGTGTTCTGCATGTGCAGGTTACAGATTACGCCATCGCCAGGCGAATTGTGGACCTGCACTCCCGAGTGGAGGAATCTGTGGACAGACTGTACTCTCTGGACGAGATCCGCAGATACCTGCTCTTTGCCAGGCAGTTCAAACCAAAGGTTTGTGCTCCCACACACACTGACTTTATCATTCCTTTAGTTTTTAAACGTCTGCTGAGAAGCAGACCAGACGACGTGTGCAGTACACATTTCTTCAGCCCAGCTCCAAAGTCACAAATCAAGGTCAAAGTTAAAACAAGGTCTTTGCTCGTTGTTTATGACGGGCGTATATTGTGTCGTATACAGTACTCTTCATGGTTTTAGTTGGTGTTTCCAGTTAGTGCAGAACAAAACTATCTGTTTTAGTCCAACCTTGAAAGTATGATGTGCCACGCACATGATCTTAAGGTGTCACGTGTGCTGGGGTTGACTGTCAGCTCCATTTTATATTTTCTATGGGGAGTTGGCTGTGGCTACCTGCCTCCACCCTCTTTGGCCCCACTCTGGGCCCTTGAGCAAGGCCCTCAACCCCCACCATCTGCTCTCACTGAGCACCCTAGACAGCAGCTCTCTGCTCCACACAGAGGCTGTGGTAGCTCAGTCTCGTGCGAGTCAGTTCACTGTGGAGACCCCTGAAGAAGGGAGCAGCTGAAAGAAGGAAGAAAAAGGGGAGCGGGGGGGGGGAGTTGACTGTGGCATCCATCTTGAATTGGACTGACTACCAAACCAACAGTTGTAGAAATGTGTTTCATGCTTCTCTTCTTGCACGCTCTTCCTCAGAGTGTTGACGTTCTGTCCTCGTGTTTGTTTGCAGATCTCCTGTGAGTCCGAGGAGTTCATCGTGGAGCAGTACAAGCGTCTCCGGCAGCGCGACGGCTCCGGCAGCGTCTCCAAATCTGCCTGGAGGATCACGGTGCGACAGCTGGAGAGCATGATCCGCCTTTCAGAGGCCATGGCCCGCATGCACTGCTGCGACGAGGTGCGACGACGAGAACGTCCCGTTCAATCAAACGTGTAGAGACGGGCTGATTCAGCTGCTGCAAAACAAAATGAATATCCATACATACATGCATACATTAGGGGTTGAATGAGTATGTAATTTTTAAACTCGACATTAACATAATAAAACCCGAGTAGAACTCGAGTATTTTATGACGTCATAGATCTCAAGATACAAAAATAAATAAAACCGCAAAAAAGGTAATTATTTACAAAAAAAGACCAACAGAACATTGGGAGTGTATATAATGCTCCTACCATTTATCATACTGCAAATAAGTCACAGGAAAAACTAAACTATTAGTTTTTATTATTAAACTGCAAACATGAAGAAACATGCAGCACGTCAAAAATTAAACAAATTGTGTGTGGGGGGGGGGTCGACCACCCCGCACCACCGCCAGCTGTGTTGCGCATTAAGTTTAGTTTTAGAGATTAATATGTTTATAGATTTTTTTTATATAGGTTTAGAGATTAATAATTTTTGCTTTTTGTTTGTGAAACAAGAGTAAACTGGTTCTGGTTCGTTGGATTTGACCCGGTGTTGCACCAAACTCTGACCTGCAACAGTGCAACACCGCCCCCTACGGCCATATGTGGTCACATAATATGACGTCACTACGGATATTCGATGTAACATTTTTAACCTCGATAGATGTCCTAGCAATCGATGTGTAGATTACTCGAGTACTCTGTTAATGCCCTAACATACATACATACATACATACATACATGCATTCATACGTGCATTCATACGTGCATTCATACGTACATCCATACATTCATGCATACGTAGATAGGTACGTACGTCACTGGTGCCCATGTCCAGCAGTCACTGTGTGAGAGGTGGGTGGACACCCTGGACAGGTCTCTAGTCCATCACATGGACACATAGAGGCAATCAACCATTCTCTCTCTCACCTAGGGACAATTTAGAGTTACCAATCATCCTAACATGCATGATTTTGGTTTGTGGGAGGAAACTGGAGTACCCAGAGAAAAGCCACTCAGCACGGAGAGAACATGCAAACTCCACCCAGAAAGACCCCGACCGGGATTTGAACCGGTGCGACCTGCTCGCTGACAGGCGGCAGCTCTACCAACTGCACCACCGTGCTGCCTAACAAACAACCGAAAACCCTAAAAAATTAGCTGCACTTGCCAGAACAAAGACAGCTGTATGAAAAACTTGAAAAAATAAAAAATCTCATATAACTGAATGCACGTTGCCTTTTATAGCAAAGTTTTAGACTTAAAATTGTTTTAGAATAAAAAAAAAATAATTTAGAGCCATTTCCTTCAAACCTTGACGTCATAAGATCTGCAACATGTTTGACTCTCGGCTACAACTGCAGCAAATGTTAGCTCAGGATCCTTCAAGCTACTGACTTAACATAATTTTTGTGTTTACTTAGTTCCATTTAGGGCATTAACAGAGTACTCGAGTAATCTACACATCGATTGCTAGAACATCTATCGAGGTTAAAATTTTAACATCGAGTATCCGTAGTGACGTCACATTATGTGACCACCGTATGACCGTAGGGGGCGGTGTTGCACTGTTGCAGGTGTGGTGTAACACGGGGTCAAATCCACCGAACCAGAACCAGTTTACTCTTGTTTCACAAACAAAAAGTAAAAATTATTAATCTCTAAACCCATAAAAAAAAATCTATAAACATATTAATCTCTAAAACTAAACTTAATGCGCACCACAGCTGGCGGTGGTCGACACCCCCCCCCCCCACACACACACACACACACACGTTGTTTCATTTTTGACGTGCTGCGTGTTTCTTCACGTTTGCAGTTTAATAATAATAACTAATAGTTTAGTTTTTCCTGTGACTTATTTGCAGTATGATAAATGGTAAGAGCATAATATACGCTCCCAATGTTTTGTTGGTCTTTTTTTTGTAAGTAAATACCTTTTTTTGCGGTTTTATTTATTTATTTATTTTTGGATCTTGAGATCTATGACGTCATCAAATACTCGAGTTCTACTCGGGTTTTATTATGTTAATGTCGAGTTTAAAAATTATATACTCGTTCAACCTCTAGTTCCATTAGCTTCGGTGGCCATCTTGAATTGGATTGACTCCTAAATGTATTCAGTTTAGATTCATGTTCAGTGATGTCAGTCTGACAGTTTCAATAGAAAACACCTGAGAATTCATGAGATATTTTGCTAACAGACTAAGAAGGTTGGCTCTAACGTTAAGAAATGTGTAGTTTGTGTTGGTGAGGATTCTCGACTCACCGGATTTTAACTGGATGAGTTGTCGCCTTTTTCATGTTTGCTGTGACGGCCATCTTGAATTGTGCTAACACCAAAATTTGCGAAGCTGTAGGTGCACATCGTGGTAGTTCACGATGACAGTTCTTACACTGACATGAGCAGAGTTAATTGTCATTAAAGATAAATATGGCTGACTAAATGCATGTATTGTGCAAACACTCATGTTTCCTCTTCATGTCTCCAGGTGCAGCCCAAACACGTGAAGGAAGCCTTCCGTCTCCTCAACAAGTCCATCATCAGAGTGGAGACGCCTGATGTCAACCTGGAGCAGGAGGACGAGCTGGAGGAGGAGCAGCAGGACGATGGTACGCTCACGACTTGCATACGTGTACATGTTGGTTTACATGCAAACTCTGCAGGCTGAGAGGTTTTCTGAAACTTTTATTTTGTAGGCGTGAACGTCCCCAATGGAGTCAATGGCGTCAACGGTCATGCTGATGGTATTAATGGTCATATAGACGACGTAAATGGTCACGCTGAGCCCGGCACCCAGCCCAAACCGTCCCTCCGCCTGTCCTTCGCCGAATACAAACGCATCTCCAACCTGCTGGTCCTACATCTGCGCCGAGTGGAGGACGGTGAGAGACGTCTCCTCCTCCTGGTTTTATTTTTACTACACACAGTTGTACGTTCTCTAACTGCTTTTATTCTGCAGCTGAGGAAGAGGAGGAGCTGAAGAAAACCTCAGTGGTTAACTGGTACCTGAAGGAGATCGAAGCAGAGATCGACTCTGAAGAAGAGCTGATCAATAAGAAGGCTCTGATAGAGAAGGTTATCCACCGGCTGGTGCACTTTGTGAGTCAACCTCAGTAAACTTTAAATTCAGCCGTTTCAACGCCGCGGGTTGTTAACTGTCTGCCTCTTGTAGGATCACATCCTCATCGAGCTGTCCCAGGCAGGCCTGAAGGGCTCGGAGTCCGAGAGCGCAGAGGAAGGCGTTGTTCTTGTCGTCAACCCAAACTACATTTTGGAGGACTAAATTTGAAAACACCATAGATGCTCGTACGTACCAGTGTTGAAGATGCTTGTGGCCTTACTATCTGAATCGATCTGACGTGTACAAAGAGAAAAAGTAAGGCGTTGTAAATATGCTGCTGTTTCTTACAATAGTTTTGGACTTTTTAGTCGGTTGAACTTGTCTGAACTGAGCAAGTGTTCATTTCTTTCTCAAACTGTATAATAAATACACACAAGGCTTAAAAACTGTTGTTTTATTGTGTAATATGTTATGAAGTGAATGAGAAATGTTGGTTCAGTCAATAAAGTCTATCCAAACATGTTTTGTGTGTTTTCATAACTGCATTTCTTTTTTTTTTCTTTTTGTCTATTGAAAATTTGAGGGGAAAAAAACAGCGCAATATAACGAGGCATACAACCACAAAAAAACAAGTTCACATTTGACATAAAACTAAGCAGAAATTATGAATAAAAATAAAATAAGCGAACAATTTGAGGAAACAGCAAAACAGAAAATGTTACAAATGGCAGAGGACTTTCAAATCTTAAAATAAGCTCGGTAATATTAAAGGTCAGCTGTTGCTGAGTGGTTAGAGCAGTCATCCTCCAATGCAGGAGTTGGGGGGGTTCAAATCCACCATCAGTCACATGCCGAAGTGTCCCTGGGCAAGACACTGAACCCCTCACTGCCTCCGATGTGTGTCCCATCAGTGTATGAATGTGATAAAGCTCTGATTAGTCTCTTTCGAATGACTGTAGAGATCTAGTAGAGTGCTGTATGAATGGGTAAATGAGGACACAAGAGTGTAGTGTAAAGAGCTTTGAGTATCTTGATCAGATAGAAAGGTGCTATACAAGTACAGTCCATTTACCATATTAATATACTGGTATAAAGGTTGGGCTTTTGGAAGGTTGCAGGGTTTAAGCGCTTACATAAAATTATTTAAAACTTCATCCCCTGTTAACAGACCAAATTTTATTATAGTAAAATTAAAAGGTGGAATAGAACTTTGATAAGCTCTAATTCTGAAAGTATTTCCAAAAAGCATTAAGTTGCAATAAAAAAAAGTGTTCTGCTGTCTCAATATCTGAATTACAGAATGCACAGGATTTGGTATTTATTAAATTTCTTTTGTAGAAAGTCTTTACAAGGATAAATTTCATACATAATTTTGAAATGAATTCATTCATCCATTATCTTCCGCTTATTCCAAAGTCAGGTCTTGGGGGCAGCAGCTTGAGCAGGGAGGCCCAGACATCTCTCTCCACAGCCACCTCTTCCAGCTCTTCTGGGAGGACTCCCAAGAAGTTCTCAGGCCAACCGAGAGACATAGTCTCTTCAGCGTGTCCTGGGTCTTCCCTAGGGTTTCCTCCCAGTCAGACATGCCTGAAACACCTCAACTGGCTCCTCTCAATGTGGAGAAGCAGTGGTTCTACTCTGAGTCTTTTCCAGATAACTGAACTTCTCACCCTATCTCTAAGGGAGAGTCCAGCTACCCTGCAGAAGAAACTCATTTCAACCGCCTGTATCCACAATCTCACTCTTTCAATCACTACCCAGAACTCGTGACCATAGGTGAGGGTAAGAACGTAGACTGACCGGTAAACAGAGAGCTTTGCCTTACAGCTCAGCTCTCTCTTCACCACAACGGACTGGTACAGAGTCCACAATACTGCAGATGCTGCACCAATCTGTCTGTCAATCTCACGCTCCATTCTTCCCTCATTCCTGAACAAAACCCTGAGATACTTTAACTCCTCCACCTGAGGCAGAACCTCACCCTGGACTTGAAGAGAGCAATCCACCCATTTCCGGTTGAGGACCATGGCCTCAGATTTGGAGGTGCTGATTCTCATCCCAGCCACTTCACACTCGGCTGTGAACTGCTCCAGTGAGAGCTGAAGATCATGGCACGCTGATGCCAACAGGACCACATCAACTGCAAAGAGCAGAGATGGAATCCTGAGGCCACCGAACCGGAAACCTTACGCCAGCTGGCTGCACCAAGAAATTCTGTCCATAAAAGTTATGAACAGAATCGGTGACAATGGGCAGCCCTGGTGGAGTCCAACTCCCACCCTGAATGGGTCCGACTTACTGCTGACAATGTAAACCAAACTCTCGCATCACTTGTATAGGGACCGAACAGCCCGTAGCAACGGGCCCCCGATCCCATACTCACGAGCACCCACCACAGTGTACCCCGAGGAACACGGTCAAATGCCTTCTCCAAATGGACTGTATTTATATAGTGCCTTTCTATCTTATTTCAAGATACTCAAAGCGCATTACACTACAATCTGTGCCCTGTGCAAATGTCCTCTGTCAGAGACTGAGACCTCACAGTCCAAGAAAGCCAACCTGCCATTTTTTACATCTTCTCGTGTGAACTTGATGTATTTATCCACAGAGTTGATGTGGTCAGTAAAATGTTGGACTTCCTGAGATTTAATTTTAACCCAGGTGTCATCAACATACCTGAACCAATGACTTTGTGGTGTCCCTGAAAAGGACATCAAGGCTCTCTTTTCTACCGCCTCCATGTACAGGTTGGCAACAATAGGAGACACTGGAGACCCCATAGCACACCCATGTTTCTGCCTATAATATTGCTCCCCATATGTGAAGTAGGTTGACTGCAGGCACAGTTTCAAGAGTTGACACAGTTGTTCTGTGGAAAGCGTGGTCCTGCTGCTCAGAGTGGTGTCTGATTTTAATCTTAAACGGACCACCTCTACTGCATCATCAACAGGAATGCACATAAAGAGTGATGTGACATCAAAAGAGACCATTGTTTCATCAGTCTCCATGAAGACATCCCTCACCTTATCCACAAAGTCCATGGTGTTCTGTATGTGGTGTTCTGAGCTGCCAACAAAAGGGATTAGTACAGACGCCAGATATTTGGAAACATTTTACGTGATAGAGTTAATCATGCTAACAATTGATCTTAAAGGTACACCTTGTTTGTGGATTTTAGGTAAACCATACAGACTAGGTGTAAACCAGCCACTAGGGAGCACAAGCCAGTGTATCTCTTGTGCCGGTCCCAAGCTCGGGTAAATGGTGAGGGTTGTGTCAGGAATGGCATCCGATGTAAAACACTTTTGCCCAAACCATAATGCGAGTTCATCAAAGCGAAACCATACCGGATCGGTCGAGGTCCGGGTTAACAACAACCGCCACCAGTGCTGTTGACAAACAGGGTGCCGGCGGAAATTGTGCTACTATTAGTCGAAGACCAAGAGGAGGGAAACGTGTCAGGAGACAGAGGGAGAAGAGGAAAGTGAAGAACGTAGGACTGAGGGTTGCAACTCTAAATGTGGGGACAATAACAGGCAAAGGTAGAGAGCTGGCTGGCATGATGCAGAGAAGGAAGGTAGATATTTTATGTGTCCAAGAGACCAAATGGAATGGCAGCAAGGCTCGCAGCATTTGGAGCAGGGTTCAAACTGTTTTACCATGGTGTGGATAGAAAAAGAAATGGAGTAGGGGTGGTCCTGAAGGAGGAGTTGGCAAAGAATGTAGTAGAAGTGAAAAGAGTGTCAGATAGGGTGATGTGCCTGAAGGTAGATGCAGAAGGTCTGATGCTAAACATTGTCAGTGGTTATGCTCCACAGGTTGGATGTGATGAGGAGGAGAAAGATACATTTTGGAAAGATCTGGATGAAGTGATAGAGAGTATTCCCAGGGAGGAGAGAGTGGTGATCGGAGCAGACCTGAATGGACATGTTGATGAAGGAAACAGAGGGGATGATGAAGTGATGGGTAGGTTTGGTGTCAAGGAAAGAAACCAGGAAGGCCAGATGATTGTGGATTTTGACAAGAGAATGGAAATGGCTATAGAAAATACATATTTCCAAAATAGGGAGGAACATAGAGTGACCTATAAGAGTGGAGGAAGGAGTATGCAGGTCGACTACATTCTGTGTAGAAGAGGAAACCTGAGGGAAATTGGAGACTGTAAGGTTGTGGCAGGGGAGAGCATGGCCAGACAGCATCAGATGGTTGTGTGTAGAATGACTGTTGTTGTGAAGAAGAAAAAAAGAGTAAAATCAGAGAAGAAGACCAATGGTGGAAGCTGAAGATGGAAGAATGTTGTGAGAAATTCAGAGAAGAGTTTTTAAAGGCTCTGGGTGATAAGAAAGAGCTTCCAAATGACTGGACTACTACAGCAACAGTAATTAGAGAGACAGGTAGGAAGGTACTTGGTGTGTCATCTGGACAGAGAATGGATGATAAGGAAACCTGGTGGTGGAATAGTGAAGTGCAGGACACTGTTCAAAGAAAGAGATTAGACTGGAAGAAATATGACAGTGAGAGGACTGAAGAGAGGAGACAGGAATATAAGGAAATGGGACATACTGCAAAGAGGGAAGTAGCTAAGGCAAAGCAGAGGGCGTACGATGAGTTGTATGAGAGACTGGACACTAAAGAGGGCGAGGAGGACTTGTACCAATTGGCAAGACAGAGGGATCAGGCTGGAAAGGATGTGCAGCAGGTTAGGCTTATTAAAGATAGGAATGATAATATTCTATCAAGTGAGGAGAGTGTGACGGAAAGATGTAAGGAGTATCCTGATGCATGCTCAATAATCCAGGTAGAAAAATCCAAAAAAGTTCAATCTGGTCCTCTGGACATTCAAAAAAAACCCAAAACAAAGCAAAAAAATATAGAAACGTTTCGTCTCTCATCCGAGAGACTTCCTCAGTCTGAGGTGCTGTATTCAGCTCAGTCTCCTAAATTGCACCTTCTCAGAGTCGATCAACCAGTTTGCTGCTGACAACCAAAACCAGCTGCTCACATGCTCAAGAAGGACCATCAGCCTAACAGTGGATCATTAGCACACTGATGGCTGCTTACTATTCACAGGGGGCTGAGTGATACTAGCAATCACAGCATTGTAAGAGGGGGACAGTTGAACCCGGAGGCCTCCACCCCTGTTTAATGATGGACGATTTCTTTTCACAAAGATGGCCTCCTTTACTCCTCTCTCAAACCATCGTTCCTCTCTGTCCAGGAAAAGTCCTGGGGGTCCTAAGTCAATCTGTAACACACAGACAGACACTTCTTCTTCATCTTCTACACCACTTCTACATTACACTTCAACGCTCCCTCTACATCAAGCCATTTCAACTTCTAAACATGTCTAAACATGGGGAAATAGTTCACGTTTCAGTTACATTTAATTTGAGGGTTTTAGAGACTGATGATTTTTTTCCTCTGAAAAGAGGTGGTGCCCGCATAAAGAGGTTATTTGCATAATAAATGCATACCTTATGAGCTTAACTCTTAAATAATAAATTATATAGATATCCAACCACAAATCCCTCTACACTCTGGTGATGGACCGACTAACAGATGAAGTCAGGCAAGAATCCCCATGGATGATGATGTTTGCAGATGACTCAAGACTCTGGTAGCAGCATTTTGGATCAACTGAAGACGTTTTAAATGGTAAATGGACTGTACTTATATAGCACCTTTCTATCTTATTTCAAGATACTCAAATCACTTTACACAACAATCTGTGCCTCATTTACCCATTCATACAGCACTCTACTAGATCTCTACAAAGCTAATTGAACAAATCATTCTAAAGAGACTAATCAGTGCTTTTAGATCACATTTATACACTGATGGGACATACATCAGAGGCTATGAGGGGTTCAGTGTCTTGCCCAGGGACACTTCGACATGTGACTGCTGGTGGATTCGAACCCCCAACTCTCGCATTGGAGGACGACTGCTCTAACCACTCAACCACAGCCGCCCCGTTTTAAAGACATATTTGGACATCCAGATAATAAACCATTGCAATAGTCCAGTCGAGACGTGACAAATGCAAGGATCAGTTTTTCTGCATCATTTTTAGATAAGATGTTTCTAATTTTAGTGATATTTCGCAGGTGGAAGAAAGTAGTTCTAGTAACGTTTTAATGTGGGGGATAAAAGACATGTCCTGATCAAAAATAACACCAAGATTTTTAACATTAGAGCTGGAGGAGAGATTAATGCCATCTAAGGAGGGAGAAAGACTGAAAAATTAATTCCTAAAGTGCTCAGGTCCAAAAACCAAAACCTCAGTTTTGTCTGTGTTCAACAGGAGAAAATTAATGGTCATCCAGGTTTTTATGTCTTTAAGACATGCTTGTAGTCTAAGTAGCTGATTGGATTCATTGGGTTTAATGGACAAATATAATTGTGTCATCAGCATAACAATGAAAATTTATCCCATGCTGTTTAATAACTTTACCTAATGGAAGCATATATAAAGTAAAGAGTAATGGCCCGAGCACTGAGCCCTGAGGAACTCCATGACTAACTTTGTTGTATGAAGAAGATTTATTATTTACATTTACAAACTGGAATCTATCCGATAGATATGATTTAAACCATTTTAGAGCTGTCCCTGTAATTCCAATATAATATTCAAGCCTCTGTAGTAAAATATTGTGATCCACCGTTTCAAATACAGCACTGAGTTCTAACAGGACGACACAAGTCCATTGTCTGAGGCCATGAGAATATCATTAGTTACTTTTACTAGTGCTGTTTCTGTACTATGATAAGCTCTAAACCCTGACTGAAACTCTTCAAACAGATTATTTCTTTGTAGATGTTCATGCAACTGACCTGCAACTATTTTCTCTAGAATTTTTTAGATGAAAGTTAGATTAGATATAGGTCTATAGTTGGCCAGAATTTCTGAATCAAGATCAGACTTCTTAAGTAAAGGTTTAATTACAGCAACCTTAAAGCTCTGTGGTACATAACCATTCGTTAAAGACAAATTAAGTAGATCCAAAATGTGGACATTAATTAGGGGAAATACCAATTTAAACAGTCTGGTTGGGATGGGATCTAGCAGGCATGTGGATGGTTTTGATGAAGTTATTATTTTTGACAATTCAGAGAGCTCAACAGGACAAAAACTGTCCAAACACAAATCAGGCTCCAGTGAAATTTTTAAAGTTGCCTCATTTGACAGGGGACCAGAGACAGCAGAAGGAATGATTGTTTGAATTTTCTCTCTAATTGAAATAATTTTATTCATAAAGAATCTCATGACGTCATCACTATTATAGTTGTAGGGATACATGGTACAACAGAAACGGGACTTTAGTCTAGCAATAGTTCTAAACAGAAATATAGGGTTATTTTTATTCTCATCTATTAAAGATGAGTAATATAAAGTTCTAGCTTTACGTAGAGCTTTTTTATATGTTAGCAGACTATCTGTCCAAGTTAAATAAAATTCTTCAACATTAGTAGAGCGCCATTTTCTCTCCTGGTTTCTAGATGCCTGCTCTAAAGTACGTAACTCAGAATTGAACCAAGGAGCCAGTTTCCTCTGATTGATTACTTTCTTTTTACAGTGGAGCAATTTTATTAAGTGAAGTTTTTTCATTCAACCTTTATTTAGACAGGTAAATCCCATTGAGCCTTGAGGACTCATCTACAAGAGAGACCTGATTTCAACAAAGAATGATGACAACAATGGACAACAGCGACAACAACAAACTGTCACAAAAAGTCATACAGATTTTTTTTTCTTTACAAATAGGATGGCTAAAAAAAAGAAAAGCAACATTAAAAACAGCTAGATTCTAAGGCAAATGTAGAAAACTAAAAACAGGAACATGTCTGCATTGGTCCCTGCCAGGAGTCCAACAGATTCTTAGGTCGTTTTCACACCAGATAGTCCTGTAGACTCGTTTCGGTTCAGGACCAATATTCATGACCTTTTGTTTACATTTGAGCTGGTGCGTTTGCATTCACACTGCACTGTGAAGTCGAGTCAACCTGTTGAACTAACCTGTTCCCCCGCTCGCCTGTGGGGGCGCTGCACCAAGAACTACTGAATGAAACGACACAAAAACCTCTGAAGACACGTCTTCTTCTTCTTCTGTAAATAAAAATAAAAACGAAGTGGCATCAAGTTTTAGCAGTTTTAAGAGTTATATTTTGTCATTTTTCAAAAATAGACTTAGCATGAGCAGAAGATGACAGAAGACCATGGAGAATATTGTTTTTCACACAAGGTAGCTGACGGCTCCATATAAGGTTGTAGTGAACTAAGCCTCAGGTCAAAATCTGGCCTTGAGAGCCTGCCTGGAACAAGAACTGTATTTCATTTATTTGAGTCCAGAAACACAAGATTAAGTTCATCCAGAGACTTTCTAACTGTCCTGCACTGATCAATTGAAATCCACTTCTTTTTCATCATCGGCCTCCTCATCCAACCATGAGCATTACCAGGCTTACTCAGCCGATCAGAACACACAGGCAGATTTCCAGCATGATTCTGATCCAACAGCAGAGGGGACAAACATTGGTGACCAGGGGCAGGACGAGGGGTATGAGACAGAGGAGCAGCTGCATGCTCAACTCTTGACTGCTGCTCTGGAGTTTGTCCCACAGCACGGCTGGTCTATGGAAGCTATTGCAGCCGGTGCAGAGTCTCTGGGTTTGTCCTCGGCTTCCACTGGTATGTTCTCCAATGGAATGGGAGATTTGGTCCTACATTTCATCGCCCAGTGCAACGCCAATCTGACAGAGATTCTGGCTGAACAACACAATCAGGTCCAGCAGGGCCAGGTTGAACCAAAGCAGACTGCAGAGTTTCTAAAAGATGCAATAGAGACCCGACTGCGGATGTACATCCCCTACATTGAAACATGGCCACAGGCGATGAGCATCTTGCTCCTTCCTCACAACATCCCTGACAGTCTGAAGCATCTGTCCACCATGGTGGACAACATCTGGTACTACGCCGGAGACCGGTCCACAGACGTGAGTGGATCCTATCATCCACGGTCCCCATTTTCTTCTGCTCACAGCTTCTTGTCCCCTTTTCATCAACACCCCAACAATATCCGGCCTGCTACTGCCCAGATGAACTGGTACACCAAGCGGGCTGCACTGACTGGCATTTTTAACACTACAGAGCTAGTAGTCGCTTCAGGCTTCGGCTTCAGTCGTTGGCAGCTCCAGTCGAGTGCAGTCGAGTTCAGTGCTGGGAGAACAGAAGTCCAGGCATGATCCAGAGCTCTTCCGAGTCTTGTGGGAATTATGCAATCTTCCACATCTGAGTGGAACTTCTGACGGACTCCACTCATGTGAGTCCACTGAGAGGTGAACCTGTGTCGGACGGAATACCGGCGCTACTTCGGACGATTCACAGCTGTTCCTACGGAGACGCTGAAAGGGTGCGTTAAATGGAACTTCGTACCAGTGGAGACATCTCCTCCAGGTAAAGAGTTGATTTATACCACCTAAGTCTACCGAGGAAGAAGCTGGGAGTTCACCGGAGAGTGCCGTTCTGATGCCGACACACACACATTTCCCTCATCCATCCTTTCTCTCAACTTAAACTTCAATTTCCATCTTTAAACTCTTCTATCTGCTAGAAATCATTCCAGATATTTTTAGAAATGTCTGTTGTACAGCTGGAAGCAAGGGAAACCATCGCCGTATGGTTTTCTAATTGTAAACCGCTAATTAAGCCATGTTGTTGTTGAAATCATTTTGCCAAATTAATGTAAATGTGTGATGTTAAACTTTGATTCTGTAAATAAATGACCGCATTCATTTGATGGGTCAAAGAAAATTAACGCCTCACGTTACATTTAATTAAATTCAATGCACCTTATTATTCAGTCCAGAAAAATGAATGAATCCGTTTAATTTATGAATATATCACAGAATATGTTCATCTACATACTGGCGGCCCGTACGTTTGTTCTACATACTGGTGGCCTCGTACGCTTCATAAATGGACTGTATTCGTGTAACAATTGAATTATCATGTTGGCATGAAATGAAAAGTGCAGAAAGGAAATATGGTGAGAGGGATGGACTGAATGTGGAGACACACTGGGCTTCAGACCCAAATCTCCTCACATCAAACACCCCTCCATCCATACCTGAAGTGGTAGAGACAGGCCTGAACAGGTTTCCTCTACCGAACAGGCAACAGAGAGCATGGAAACTTCCTCTTTCAATAGATGTTCTGCTAAAACTCTCAAAATATGTACAACGCTTTGTACCGGGACCAATGGGTTCAGCTGGAACAAAAGCGTACCTCAAAGACATTGAATTCAGGCTGAATGGTTATCCTAATGCTACGGTTGAGGATAAAATCAGTCTGATAAGGCTCACTTCGGACAGAGAGGTGTTCACCTTCATCGAGCGTCTACCTGATGCAACGAGAAAGGATTACAACCTTCTGTGTGAAGCTTTGATCAGAGAGTACGACCCCTGCACGGGACCTGCTGGTTTCCCAGCCGCTGACAAGGTCAAGCAGGGCAAGAATGAACTTCCAAAGATTTATTACAAAAGAATCTTCCAAGCTTATTTTGGTTACAGAAATGAAACCGGAATGGAGGAAGAAGAAAGTTTTAAATATGTTTTCAGCAAAAATCTCCACACTGACATACGCATGTCAGTACAAATTATGGCAAATTTCAGAGAAAATCCATAAATGAGATTAAACAGTGTGCTGTGAATGTGTTTGAGGCATGTTCTCATGCTAAGACGCCCATAGAAGTGTTTCCTGGTATAAAGGTTAAACCCCACTCCCTAGAAATGGAAGGACGGCGTGCATCGCCTCCTCCTCCTAAAACAGGCGAGAAAAGGCAGTATTTTCAAACTAACAAACCGCGTAATGAAGGTGCACGCTGGGACAGAAATGCTTCTCTTTCAGAGGATGAACGTGATTATCGTAAATGGGGTATGCGTAGGACGCAAAGATATGGGATCCAAGAGGACCCATATTATCAGGGAAAGTCCGAAGAGGAACCCCCAAAAGACGTACCTAACCCTCCCCCACCTCGGACGAAACGAACCGAGGCGATAAAATCACAAAGGTCCCAGGAACAAGGCCCTACACCTCTGAGCTCGGAAGAGACAGAGATACTACTAAGGTTTTTAGAAACTTTGAAACACGCTGAAATGGGAATCCAACCTGGAGCACTATGTAGTGATGTGATCGCTACTAAATCTGAAGGCGCGAGTGACAACATTACAGATGTCGGTGAAACACACCAAGACATTATTGTTGTGGCCTCCAACAACCCCTCATCGGACGAAGGGGGGTAAACTCACACACAAACGATGATGAGTCATCGCAAGCTGAACACTCAGAACCTGATTTTCATGATTTTGAACTAGGCATTCCATTTCTGGGAGGACTCCCAGATAACCTGGTACCAAGTCAAGAAACTGGGCCAGTATGGTTAACAAAACCAACACAGGCCATAGCTCTTTTCTCAACCGATGATGTCGACCAAGGGCCTCAAACTTATGGTGTCTTACCCATAGACAGGTCTGACGACTCAGAAAAGGATTCGTTGGAGCTCCCCAAAGAGCAAGAACCCTTAACAGTCTCATCACAGATTGAACAGGTGGTCGCCCAAGCCGACGCTCTGACATCTGATGAAGAAAGAGACAAACTTCGCCAAGTTCTTTTAAAATATGAAAAGTCATTTTCAACTGACCCAGACATCATCCAACTTCAGAAGTTGGATGATCCTGCAATTAACTCGATGATACTGTATCTGACTGACCCAGACAAATACACTCCATCGAAAGGTGAACTGGATTCCAATCCAGACCTTAAAGTCCTCTTTCAGCTGCGCAAACAGTTAAAACTACTCAAGGACAGCCTAACTTTAGCTCATGGAGCGACGTCCTCACCCGTGTTCGCGGTCTCCCATGACCGAAGGGGGGTGACGCCAGTTAGGATAATGCTACCAGACGCGATAACGTGAGCAAATCTGACATCCAGAGTGAGTGGCGCACCGAAACGTCGTTTTCTAGTTGCTTAATCACTGCTTTTGTCTATGTTGAAACATTGTTTAACTGGTTGCTTAGTCACTGTTTTTGTCGATGTTGAGACATCGTTTAATTGGTTTTTGGTATTGTTTCTGAACACCCCAAGCAAGAATGAATTTTGTGTGTAGTTAAGTTAGAGACTAAGAGGCCTTTAACCATGCCAACATGCAGTTCATTTGTTAAAATGTAATCTTTGCGGAGTCAATGTAGATTAATGCTACCTTAAGTACCATAATCTACATTGATCTCACAACGCTTAAGCCGAACCTACTCGAACAATTCTATTCGGGGGGATAGCTAATTCTGTTTGATGAGTCTCGCCATAGACTTCCAAAAACATTTATGGGGAAACCAAACACCCAATCTCAAGTCGTTCGTCTAAAAGACAACAGACAATTGAACCAAACTATATTTTACCATGTAAATCTAACTTAAACCAAGTTAGGAATGGAAAACTAGTTTGGAATACTCTTCTATAGGTATAGACCCCTATAGTTACCCTTTTCAGCATGTTCCATCCCTTAACTGGTAGTTGTAGCTGTTCCCAATCATAATAGCTTACACACCAGGTGCATATAGTTTAAGGCCTTATGTAAAATCCCCTTCATAAGCCCACCTTAAACCACATAATTGCATGACACATTTGAACCAAAATGGCATCGACTGGACACCCACCCAGCGACGACCTTCGCTGGAGGAGACCTGCAATCCTGACGTTGGTCTCCACTCTTCATCCAGTGGCCGCATCTTCAGTTCAATCCAAGGGAACCCCTCTGTATGCTGATCAATCAACACTTCCAATCGTTGTGGATTAATCGTTGTGGATTATATGACTTTTTCCTATGGATTACAGACTCTATTTCCAAGGGGTTAAAAGCATTGCTACATTGGAATTACCAAAAACATTGCGGATTACATCCTTTGACTTTTGTTTTCCTTGCTGGATTACATCAAGACCAGGGACATTCGAAGGCGTAAGTTCATGTTGGAATTCATCCCCATGGACAGGCGATGATTTCCAAAGGGGGGACTGTAGTGAACTAAGCCTCAGGTCAAAATCTGGCCTCAGAGCCTGCCTGGAACAAGAACTGTTTTTCGTTGATTTGAGTCCAGAAACACAAGATTAAGTTCATCCAGAGACTTTCTAAGTGTCCTGCACTGATCAATTGAAAGAACATTCTCTTTTTTATTATCATTACTATTTTACAAATGTTTGATAATCAAAGTGTGTTTAGTTCAAACCATTTTTAAATGTTGAAGTGAACTACTCATTTTTAAATCAACTGTGAAACAGTAATAATGACTTTAATCCTCATTCAAAGTAGAAATCAGGTTAATGATGCATTGTCTGATTTTCTGTCTTCAATGAGCAAGTTGTGTAAGTTGGTCAAAGGTCAAGTTTTGGTCAACTGCAAGTTTACTGAAAAAGAAATGTCATGTTTAACTTTTACAGAAAGATATGAGAGAGTTGACTCCATGAAGTCTGAGTTCTTCATAACAATCTTCTGTCTGTTCTTAAACACTTAATCTTTTTCCTTGACTTTTTAATAACCTCTTACATCACAAAAACACACCTATGTTTGGTCAACCGACCAATCAGAAAGGTCTCAAATGAACCGGAAGTGACCTCTTTTAAAAGGTGCAACACTTCCTAGTTCACTGTAGTTCTGAAACTCAGAAGTTCAGGAGTTCTGAGGAGTCCAGTAGTTCTGAGAAGAACGCTGAGAAGAACGCTGAGAGAATGCTGTGAGTTAGTTCCGAGAGCAGCAGAGTTCAGAATGCTGGAATTCAGAATGCTGGAGAAATAGCAAATAAGCTGGGCGAGAGAAGTTCAGAAGAACTATGAAGTCTGTTCTGGATGATCTCACCACTCCGATCGGTTCCCTACTATTCTTACGGAGACGCTGAAAAGTGGCTTGAAGTGGAACTTTACGCCGGAACTGAAATATCTTCAGAAAGGTAAAAAGTCGATCTTCAACCGCAAAGTGTACCGTTTGGTTAAACTGGGTCCAGAAGGAGCGTGCTGTTCTGGTTATAACAGACAAATTCCCTCAGCCATCTCTCTCAAGATAAACCTCATTTTCCATCTTTAAAATTCTTATATCCTGCTAGAAATCATTCCAGATATTTTCAGAAATGTCTGTTGTGAAGCTTGAAGCAACGAAAACCATCGCCGTATGGTTTCCTGACTGTAAAGCTAATTAATTAAGCCATGTTGTTATTTTTCATTTTGCCAAATTAATGTAAATGTGTGATGTTAAACGTGATTCTGTTAATAAATGGCCGCATTCATTTGATGGGTCAAAGAAAATTAACGTCTCACGATACATTTTATTAAATTCAATGCACGTTATTATTCAGTCCAGAAAAATGAATGAATCCGTTTAATTTATGAATATATCACAGAATATGTTCATCTACAAGGTCAAAGAAATGCGTGTTTGTTTACCCTGCGGAGCGGGGCCCGGTCTGTTTACATTCACACTGCACCCGAACCGCGCTGGAGTTCGCTTCTACCGGACCGAGACCTAGGTTTTAGCCTGGGCCAGAGTTCGCCTTTTTGTTCCATGACAGAGTTCGATGGCGCGTTCACACCTCCCTAAACGAACCGGACTTTCTAGGAGAACGAGCTAAAGTTCGATTAAAGCGGACTAAACAGGGCTGGTGTGAATGCACCCTTAAAGCCACTTAGAGAGGTCAAGGTCAAGAGCTTCAGATCTTTTTGTAAGATATTCCAGGAAACAGGAGCGGAATAGGAGAAGGCCCTTTTGCCTAGTTCAGTCCTAACTGAGGGAACACTGCAGGTAATAATGTCCTGAGAGCGCACGCTGTAGCTGCACTCACGCAGAGATATGAAGGAGGAGATGTATGAAGGCAGCAGACCAAGAAGTTATTTAAAAATGAAAATGTACCAGTGATAGAGTCTGCGTGAAGTTAATGATGTCCAGTTAACCAGTGAATACAGGGTGCAGTGGTGGGTACGATAATCACAGCCCGTTATGAATCTTAGTGCACCATGATAGACAACATCCAACATCTGCAGGGTTCTTGTAGGAGCGTTCATGTAAATAATGTCACCGTAATCAATGGAGGGAAGGAAAGTCACAGAAACAAGGCGTTTCCTAGCATTCAGAGTTAATAAAGAACCATGAACCATAAACATGAATCATTTCTCAGGTTCTGCTCTCTACAAGCTGGACAAGTTTAGCCGCAGGGGATCCCTGAAGTTACAGACATGCTGCATTATGGGCATTATGTGCTACTTGGCCTAGGGGTGCAGGGGGGACCAGCTCTTTTGTGTTTAAGGGATTAGAGTACGCTTTTGTGTGAGAAGGAAAAGACTCCTGATTGATGTCAGACAAGTGGACGGATATGCAAACAAGAAGAGAAATATAACAGGTTGATCCATTCAGCCCTGGGACAGACAGAAACCACAACCCTCGTTTTTCTTTTTTTTTTTTTTAGCTGTAACAATTTTTTTACTTTGTGCTCAGGAAATACTGCTGAGTCTAAGTAAATTAATTCTTTTTCCATCCTGTAACACTTTGCGAACTACAGGTAAGGAAAAACATCAAAAACCGCCCAAAGTAAAAGCTGACAACAACTTTCTATGAGAAGAAAATGTGCAGCGTTCTGCTTTTTGAAATGATGTTTTCAGCAAATATAACTGATACATCTGTTGGTCTGATGAAGGAGCTGACAAAGTGTAAGTTTCAAAGAAAATATGATGGCAGGTTTGGTTTGAGGAGCTCTTCTTCCTGCAAAATTCATGCAACCTTTACTTATAATAGTTAGTTCCCATTGAACCTCGAGGACTCATTTACAAGAGAGACCAGTTACATACAACATACAGACTAGATTAGGAAAAGAGAACACAAGGGTGTAGGAAGTAAACAAAAAAAAAACATATCTCATACCATATGGTGAGGTTCTGAGAATTCATTCCGTCACGATTCATGCCCGTTAGGTTAGATTTTCCATCACTCTGTGCACTGCTTGGTGTCTTTGGATCCTTTTCTTCTCTTCTGTCTGCATGTGTGTGTTTTAGGTTGTCTTGGCTGCATGTGGGTTTAAGGTTGTCTTCACTGATCAAACCGGTTTGTCTTCACTGCAGCACCTACAGCTCTGATTACATTTCAATTAGCTGCACCTGTCTCTGCACCCTTTATAAGTCAGACTCACACAGAGTGATTGCCAGGAAGAAGAAAGAGAGGGGCGGGTTGGTTGGTTGGAGAGAAAGTGAGAGGACGCTAGCTAACGGCGGGAAATTTTTGAAAGTTTGAGATTTTTGTTTCCATATATACCATTTTTCTTTTTGAATTTGGTGGTTGGCATAAACTGGAATGCGACTGGATCGGGATGACTACTCAGGTAGATTACAACGAGGATATGGATTTTGATGACTGGACTCCGGTAGGTAGAGGAGGAGGAAAAGGTAAGGGCAAAGCTGTGAGAGATGACAGAGAGCTTGGCAGCCATAGTAATAAGAGAAGCCTTGAAGAGTGTAGTTCAGAGGATGAAAACAGACTGGTTAGAAGGAAAGTGATAAATGAGGAATTTAAGGTCATACTTAAATTCAAGAAAGAAGATGAGAACATGAATCTAAGCTCTATAGCAATATCTAAAGATATAAAAAAGAAACTAGGTGAGGTGGAGTTTGCGAAAGTGCTGCGTGATGGGAATCTGTTGATCAAATGTAAATCTGAAGAACAAAAAAATAAAGCTATGCAGATTGATAACATTTGCAAAAAGGTTGTTAGTGAAAAGAAAATTATTGGAGAAAACAAGGTTTCACGTGGTGTTATCACTGGTATTCCACTTGAGGAAGATCTGGAAAAACTTAAAAGAAATATTCATGATGTAGAAATATGCAATTTGAAAAGGTTGTTAAAAACTGTAGATGGGAAAAGGATTGAGAGTCTCTCTATACTTTTAGAGTTTAAAGGCGAAGCTCTTCCTGATAAAATAAAAATTGGTTTCATGTGTTTTCCTGTCAGGCCTTATATCCCTCCTCCTCTGCGCTGTTACAAATGCCAAAGATACGGTCACATTGCAGCAGTGTGCAAAGGGAAGCAAAGATGTGCAAAGTGTGGTGGAGATCATAGGTATGATGAATGTGGGAAAGATGTACAGTTGAAATATTGTAACGGTGGAGGTCAGCATAGTGCAGCATATGGGGGATGTGAAGTAAGGAAGAAGACAGCAGAAATACAGCACATAAAAACTGTTAAAAACATTACTTATGCAGAAGCAACAAAAAAGGTGCAAGAAAAAAGAGCAGTAGGCCTACAGGTAAATCCTAAAGTTCCTCCTAGTCCAAAACCTGAATCCAGTCAAAGAGCAATGACAGGAATGGAAATTACAATGGATAAATTAATTCTGTTCATGGCTTATGTTATTAACTGCACTGATCAAGTGAAGCAAAAAACTGAAAAAAATCAAAATCATAGTGAAAGGTGCATAGAAATTTCTGTGTGTGAAGGATTTATCTTGGGAATCGATCAATAAAAAGCTGGAAACAGATGGAAAACTGGGTGAAGGAAGAATATAATGATTATTCTTCAATGGAATGCAAGGAGTTTATTAGCTAATGGTCAAGAATTTAAAGGATATTTAAATAATTTGAAAAGAAAACCAGACATAATTTGTGTTCAAGAAACATGGCTTAAACCATAGTTAGATTTTGTGATAAAAGGGTTCGACAGTATTAGAAGAGACAGGGAGCAAGAGAGTGGAGGAGGATGTATAATATTTGTAAAACAAGGAATACAGTATAGATATTTAGAAAAAGGAATAACATTGGAATGGGTATCTGTAGAAATTTGGATTAATAAAGAAAGTATTAAAATATTAAATTTTTATAATCCCTGTAAAAAACTTTATTTAGATAAAATGGAGGAAATGTTTAAAAATATTGAAGGAAAAGTAATCTATTGTGGAGACTTTAATGCTTACAGTACTTTGTGGGGTAGTAGTAATGATGCTAATAGAGAGGTGGTGGAAGAAATAATGGATCTAAAGAATTTAGTTTGCCTTAATTATGGGGAGGGGACAAGAATCAATATTAGAAATGTATCTGAATCAGCATTAGATTTAACTTTAATTTCAGAGAGTTTTGCTGGGATCAGTAATTGGCAAGTATTAAAAGAATCAACTATAGGAAGTGATCATTATCCTATATTCATTGAAATCGGTTTGGAAATGGAAACATTTGATAATGAAGGTGTAGAAAGATGGATCTTTGGAAGTGCTGATTGGGAAAAATATAAAATAATAAGTGATAAAGAAATGCAAATAGTTAATATTGATTTAGATATTGACAATTTAAATCTTTCTATTTGTGAAGCCATTTTAGGTGCTGCACGTGAAGCAATCCAAAGAAAGAGAGGAAAATCTAAGAAGAAAATTGTACCGTGGTGGACAAAGGAATGTGATGTAGCAATAAAATCTCAAAATAAAGCTTTTAGATTGTTAAAAAGAAATCATAACTTTCAGAATTTTACTGAATATAAAAGGTTGCAAGCTCTTGTTAAAAGAACTGTAAAAAATGCAAAAAAGGTTTATTGGGGAAGCTTTTGTAGTTGGGTAGGTAGGAAACAAACATTTCAAAAGTTTGGGGAATGATAAAATGAATGAATGGGATTAGAAGAGAATATGGATATCCTGTTCCAAAAAATGGAGATGTTACTGCTGTAACAGAGGAAGAGAAGGCAAACATTTTGGTCAAACATTTTGGTCAAACATTTTGTTCAAATCCACAGTAGTAGTAATTTAAGTACAGAAGAGAACCAGAGGAGAAATTGTACAATCAATGAAAATATTCATTTATTAAAAGAAAATATAAGATCTACTGACTTATTAAATGCTCCCTTTTCTTTTTCTGAACTGAATAATGCCCTTAGGAAATCAAAAAACTCATCTCCAGGAAATGACAATATCTCTTACATTATGATTAATCAGTTTAGTAATTCATCTAAAAAGGTTTTACTGGAATTATATAATAAGATCTGGGAATTAGGCTTTTTACCTAAAGCATGGAAAGAAGCAATCATAGTTCCAATCCTCAAACCAGGTAAAGAACGATCAAACCCAGCCAGTTATAGACCTGTAGCTCTAACTTCACATTTATGTAAATTAATGGAGAGAATGATAAATGAACGATTGACTTACTTTGTTGAGAAGAGGGGATATTTATCAAAATTCCAAAGTGGATTTAGAAAAGGTAGAAACACTATGGATCCTGTTTTATGTTTAGAACATGAAATCAGGAAAGGGCAAGTTAATACGGAGAGTGTGGTGGCTGTCTTTTTTGATATAGAGAAAGCTTACGATATGATGTGGAAGGAAGGTTTATTAATAAAACTAAAAAAGATGGGAATAAATGGTTCAATGTTTTATTGGATAAAATATTTTTTACAAGATCGATCAATACAAGTGAGAATAGGAAAAACATTTTCAGAAAAATTTTTGGTTGAAAATGGAACTCCCCAATGAAGTATAGTGAGCCCATTGGTTTTTTCTATTATGATTAATGATATGTTTGAAAATTTGGAGAATGGAATAGGGTTTTCTTTATTTGCTGATGATGGAGCAATCTGGAAGAGGGGAAAAAATTTAAATTTTATTGTAAAAAAGACACAAGAAGCAATTAATAAAATAGAAGACTGGTCCTTTAAATGGGGATTCAAAATTTCTATAGATAAAATGAAGACTTTATTTTTTACAAGGAAAAAAGTATCAGAAAATGTAAAATTGAAAATATATAATCATGATTTGGAAAGGGTAAAGCAATTTAAATTTTTGGGTATATGGTTAGATGACAAACTTACTTGGAAAGTGCATATTCAAAACATAATAGATAAATGTAAGAGAGTGTTAAATGTAATGAGGTGTTTGGTGGAGAGTGAGTGGGGAGCTGAGAGGAAAGCACTGAAATCAATATACACAGGTTTAATTAGGTCCTTATTTGATTATGGCAGTATAGCATATGGGTCAGCATCAGTTACACTACTCAAAAAATTAGATAATATTCAGCATCAAGCCTTGAGATTATGTACAGGTGCCATCAGAACAACTCCAACATCAGCTTTACTGGTGGAAATGGGAGAAATGTCACTTCAGCTTAGAAGATTACAAATAATTTCAACTTACTGGTGTCATTTAAAAGTCATAATGAAAACGACTTCCAGTAAGATGGCGCCCGTGTACATGGCTTGCAATCCACCTCTGCTGATGGTGTTCGGATTATTTTTGTTTGTTGCATTTCACATCTGTGACATCAACTCTCTGCTGGTGTATGACAGACAACAACTTTTGAATCTTTGTTTTTCTGCCACTGAAGTTGCTTATTTGGAAAAATATGAGCGTACCTCTGGACCCCCCCCCCTCTCCTCCCCCCCTGCTGGCGGACGTGCCAGCTTACCTTCGCTGCGCTCCTCACCTGCCTGACCGGAGATCTCGCTTCAGATGCCTGGGAAAACATGCTGGTCAGCTGGTGAAGCTGAAAGCTCTGCGCACTGCATCTTCCTCTCCTGTGTGCCTGGACCAGGTAACCAACGGGAGTTGTCAGCCATTGCGCAGCTCGGACCGACCTGGAGGGGCTGTTATTGAAAACCTGCGGCCATTAGCGCGTGCTAACTCCACCGCTGCTGGCTCCACTTTGGACAGTATCCGGATGTGTTTGGTCAACGCTAGATCTGTTACCAACAAAACTTTTATCCTCAGGGGTTACTTTCAAGAGCACAATTTGGACTTTCTGTGCATCACAGAGACTTGGATGTCTCCGGGTGTCCAGCGCCTTGACGGAATTACTGCCACCGAACTGTCTGTGTTTTAACGCACCGCGGCCATCAGGCCAGCGCGGTGGTGGATTATTAACAATATTCAAATCAACTTTTGACTGTAAACAACTGCCCATCCCAGTTTCCCACGCCAGCTTTGAGCTGAACGTCTTTGAACTCGGACATTCACCTGCGACGTTATTTGCACTTGTCTACCGCCCACCTCGATCTAAGGATTTCATAAATGAGTTTTCTGACTTCTTGGCTGAAATCACACCAAAATATGGGCATCTTTTCATTATTGGGGACTTTAATTTGCACGTGTGCTGTCCTGAGAAGCCCTTGGTTAAGGACTTTTTAGATCTATTGGACTCATTTAATTTAACTCAGCATGTAAACGGTCCCACCCAAGAGTGTGGACATACACTGGACCTTTTTTTAACACGTGATATGACTGTTAATAATCTTGTTATTGGTGATAATGTTTTTTCAGACCACATGCCAGTCCGGTTTGAGTTCACCCTCCCCCATCTAACTCCTAAGTCGTGCATTCCTGCACGTAGGACTCGGACCATTAACCACTTCACTGCCACATGTTTCACAGATGTTTATAACTCTGAAATGATCATTCAGGCCCCAGTGTTTCTCACCACCACTGAGGAGCTGACATCCCAGTTCAACTCTGTCTGCTTAAAGACTCTGGATCTTGTTGCACCTGTTAAAACCAAAAAATCAAAACTCAGAGCAGAACCTTGGCTGATTGACGTCACCAAGGCCGTTAGGCAGCAATGTAGGAGGGCGGAACGAAAGTGGAGGAAAGACAGGCTGCAGGTCTCTTTTCAAATACTTAAAGAGAGTTGGCGCCGTTATCAGAAAACAGTAAAAGCTGCTAAATCAAAATTCTTCTCTGATATAATTACCTCAAACTCTAACAACCCACGTGTCCTCTCTTCCACCCTAAACTCTGTTCTCCACCTCACTGAACCATCACCTCTGGAAGCCTCGACTGAGCTGTGCGACAACTTCTTACATTTCTTTTTGGAAAAAATTGTGACCACCAGGGCTCTCATTGCCCCTCCAACTCATGACCCATCCATCCCACCTCAATCTGTAGCTCCTTTTGACCATTTTGAACCCATCACTCTATCTTCTCTAGAGCAGGTCATGTGCAGCTTGAAACCTTCTGGCTCCCCCTTTGATGTGGTACCCCTTGACTACTAAAGGAGGTGTTTCCAACTCTAGGTCCGTCCATTCTTGATATAGTAAACAGTAGTTTATCCACTGGCGTGGTGCCAAAATCCTTTAAACATGCTGCCGTCCAGCCTCTCCTGAAAAAACCAAACCTTGACCCCTCAGT